TAAAAATAAATCAATGCTGTTAAAGAAATAAATGAGGAACTAAAAATGATCCCAACATACTCTTTAAAATTCAATGTTTCTGCTATTTCCACAGGACTTTTGATTCATGCAGCTTGAATGTAGCACTGGAGAGGCCCCGGCCTTACTCCAAAACTCTCATGGATTTCAGCAGGTCAGCCCACGATGGGCGCCTGAAACCAAAAGGGTACAGAAGAAAGCCCAAGAGATGTCATTACTTTCCATCATCATAGTGATTTCTTAGAAATGCCTTACAATACTCTCAAAAAATTACAATTATGTATACATATTTAATTCTACAACCCTTGTATTGTCCTGCTTAAGCTGCCTCTGTATGAGAGTCAGATTTTCCTCTATTCTTTTCCCTAAATCACAGAGCAGGTTTCAAATGTCATTATTCAGTTGCTTCTTTCCCCATAGATGTAACACTGTTTCTCACAGTGCAGTTTCACTGCTGAACAGCAAACGAACTGACCCAGAGGGACACAGGATCTGCAAGTCCCTCCTCAGATTTGCAGTGTTTCCTTGCCTTAAAGTATGTATCGGAACTCTTTGTTGGGACCCATATATCTCACTGTGAGGCTACTGACTTGGAACCAGCATCCTCCAGAATTTAGTGATATTATGGTACTTATTTAACCCTGTGCATATACTTTGGTCTTGCTGAACTGGTGCCTGAAGAAAGTCTGGGTCCAGCAGGCATTCCTGCATACATTCAAGGATAATAGGTGACTAATCAGTATGAGGAGAGCTGATGCCCAACTTCTAGTGACTGTGATCTTCAGTAAAACTAACTTTCACCAGTAACATTTCTAGAATCATTTCAGTGTGGTATATGTACACTGTAAGTCACTGTGACATACATACTCCCCTGTTTTCTTGCAGACACAGGAGCTTCAAATTTTTACTCTCCACCCTCCCACATTCCAGTGCAATTCCTTTCCTTAATGAGCATACACACAAAATGACCTCTGTGTTCCCTTCTGCAGAATTGTGCACTGTTTCCCTGAATTCTGGAGCTCACATTTTCATGCTAAAAGGTGCAATTATTTTTCTGTGCAGCAACATATGCAAGAAGACTGGCTTTGCAAACCAATTTTCAGCCTCTCAGTAGGTTGACAAGAATTTGGTCAGACTGGTGAGAAATCTTTTGCACGTAGAAAATTCACTTTACTTAAGCAACCCTTTACATTACTTTTTTAAAAGAGCAAAGGCAGACACTAGTGCTCCATCTGCCTTTCCCTGTGCATTACAAATTATTAATGAAGCAGGTAGAACCTGATTTTATGCAATTGATCAGGAACATATCTTAACAACTGCAACCTAAAATTAGCACCTTTCATGACTGTAACATCATTCCCAATTTTCCCTCAATTACATGCTGTTTCTTAATGGTTACAGTTCATTCTTTGTCAATCTGGTGCCTCAGAAAACTGAGCCAGGCATTACACTGGAGACCAAGGCACTGGCAAGGCAGAAAGTGGATCTGTTAATTCTTAAACACTACTTACGGATCATTTTTCCCCCCACAATACATGAAATTCAGTGAGTGCAAAACTTCACTGACATTCTTTGATGATGCCTTTGATTTGTGGTGATGGCAAAACTGCTCATCCCAGTAACCTACAATTATGACATTTAAGTGATAAAACCCACACGACTCAACACCTCTGCTAACAATGCAGTTTCACTATTTTAAAGTTGGGAAATTACTTGCCTTTTACTTGTGTACACAGGTTCTGATTTAGTTCCCAGTTAAGTCAGTGAGAGCCTGGCGAATCTTTCGGTTTGCTTCAGTGATATGGGATAAGCCCAGCAGTCAAGGATTATTCTCCAAATATTAGCAGAAGTGCAGTTGGTATTGTTAGCTCAAAGGCAATAAAATCTTTGCATCCAAATACAAGCTTTTGTGAGATCTTAGTTGACAGATGGATTTATAAATTGATACTACAATCTTTAATTTCTTCTTAAACTTTAATTAATGGAAGCATTTGGGAAAGTGTGGGTCTTTCCAAAACAACTCCTTGAGAAACCATACTGAAATTATGTTGCCTGTTCATGAACTTTAATGTGAGTGAACCTTGACTTTCCAATCATCATAAACTGTCTTAAATTAAGACTATTATAGAACTATTATAAGACTATTATAAAATCTATATTTGGATAAATCAACTCAAGACATACGACATGGAGCTAACAGAGTTAACCAGGTCTCAGGCAACCTATGCTAAAACTGGAAACTTTACTTTCAGCTTTCTCCTAAACTTCTTCCCCAGTGAAGACAATTTAGCAGTGGGCTTTATAAAAAAATTATGCAATGAAGGCATGCCCCCAAATACACTGAAATTCTTCAAAAGACTCTCATAGGCTTCAATGGATTCATAATCATGCTCTGAATGTAAGAGTCAGCCTTCCCCCAGTTTTGTTTTCTAGATAGAGTCAACAGTGATGGAAGTGCCTAGCTCTGAGAAACGTGTAAAGTTTTATAGTATGATGTTGTAAATGGCTGATAGTGGTACAGGTGTGACAGACTGGGAACCCTCATAGGATAGAGTATGGTAATTCCCCAGTGAACTGCCTTCTGGAAGAAGATTTTCTTTTAATGAATTAACAGGCAGCAGATGCTGGGAGGAATGTATTTGTCTTTCAACATTGCTTCATATGTAGAGTAAATGCAAATAAAGCAAGATAAACCTCTAAATATATGTATAAAAGATGGATTGCTCTTTAGAGATTACAAAACACTGTAGCATAATCTTTAAACAATTTGATACTTTTGAGAATAATTTTTAAGCCATAGCACAAATAGGTTCTGAAGTCCTACAACAGAAGTTGAACAGGAACAGCTTCTGCAAAGTTTATTTATTGCAGTCCACTTGCCGAAAACATGGTCTAAACCAGGAAATGGTGTGAATTAAACCAGCTGAAGTCCAACCACTTAATATTTTACTATAGCTGTTAGCAGATGAGACTGTAAAACGTCCCTCTTCCCCATCTGTGTGCTTAGCATGTGATAGGCCTACCACCTAGCAGACACTGTCCAGGATTCTTTTGGCTCTGGCTCCAGATTAGCACAGATCTTACCTGCGCAGACAAATTCCTGTGGGAGACAAAGAGCTTACACAGAAGAGCATTCCAGGGCCACACTGATATGCTGTTGCATTTCCAACCTGTCCAACTGCACTGGATGCAGAACACTGGGGATTTTCCAGAATATCCACCTCCATGTGGCTTGACTTCTGCATCTTCCCAAATGCTACATCCAAGAACTCCAGGGATGATGATTCCTGCAAGACTTAAGGGAGGCAATTAGCACTGCTTTTTCAGTCTCACACTACATTTGCCAAGTTAATACTTGCACTTTTCTTGAAGTGCTTAGTTGAACAGTTTGATGAACCGAAGAAACTTCCACACCCAAGTAAGAATGCCAGATAATTTTATCTTGACACCAGTTACTGCTGAGCTCTTCAACTACATGAAATGGCAATCTAGTCTTTCACCTTTACCAGTGGAACTTTCCGACCTTAACCTCAGGTGCATACAGATGTACCAGCAGACCTAGTGAAAAAATGAGGGACTGCAGCTGCTAAAAGCATACAAACTAAGCATGATCACAAACTTCCTCTACATAGAGCATGGAAGTAACACATGGCTTGTATGGGCCAGGTGTTCTGGAGGCTGGTTTTGAGTGGCACTAAATCCTGATATTGTATTTAGCCCATTCATTGAATGTTCACAGAGTGCTTGTGCTATATGCAAAAAAATAAATCTGCAGTGACCTGATCCATCGTTAGCCATCCTGTCATGGAGGAGTGGGGATGTGAGGATGCTCCTATGTAGAGCCCAAAATCAGCGAAGCTGAATTGTCTGTACATCTAGAGATGGACACAACCTGGCTGCCTCCTGCAGCCTCATTTGACCAGTATCAGGGGTATGCAAAGGTATCATCGCACATTTTCATGTCTGGACTAACACCTAACCCTAAGGCAGCAGTGGCTACACCCCTTCCCTCAGGTTCATGCCTAAGCACAGCTGTCCCTGGGTTTTCATCCCTTCGCTTCTGCAAGGACATGGACACACAGCCGGAAACACCATCACAGGATGTTCTTGCCCTCTGCAAGCAAGTCTAAGGATGAAACCCCAGACCCCTCACAATCCCACCCCGGACTCTGCTGCCCTCTCCAGCCTGCCCCAGGAGTCCTCGGCCTGGCTCCCGGGGGGGGGGGGGAGCATCCCCTCAGCCCCGCCGCCATTTTGAGCAGGGAGCTGAACACCCCAGAGGTGGCAGTGGGCCTCGGAACAGTGACGACCTATGTCTCCCCCACCTCCAGTAGGGGCGGGAGCCACAGGCTTCCTCCCCAGCCTGGTGTGGCTGCGATGGAGAGAGCCCCACCGCCTGGAATTGCTCCAGAAGCAGCCCCGTCGCGGTGCCACCACGCTCCCCCCTCCCGCCACGCTGACAAGACTGGCTTCCCCGACGGCACCGCGCCCTCGACCGCCACCCAGCGAAGAGGAAGAGCAGAGCGGTGGGACTTTGCCCAGGAAGAGCCGATGTCGTCACACGGCCACGGCCAATGAGCGAGCGCGATTAAAATAGCGCACTATAAATACGAGCCCGCGGGCTGGGCTGGGTGCCACCTGGCGCAGGTGCGGTGGAGGAGCTGTGGGGGATGGCCCTTACCCCGCCCCCTTCCCTCCGTTCCCCGCCCCGCCCCGTCCCGTCCCCCCCCCCCCCCCGTGGGCTCCCTGTCACCGCTACCATCCCGGCTGGGGCGCCAGCCCGCGCCCCGCGGAGCCAGCTGGGCGCCACCGGGGCGGCTGGTGGTGGACGTGGGGCGCGTCCCCCTTCCCACGTGTGAAGCCCCAGGACAAGGGTGCGACGCCCTCGGGCCTGGTCTTGTTGCTTCATCTCCCCTCCAGGACTTGGTGACTCTTTCTGCTGGTTCCAGTGCATTCTTCCTTTTAAGGGTGCTCTCCTCCTCTCTCTGAGGTAGCTGAGGGTAGCCAGTGCTATGCCATCATGAAAAAAAACCACCGTTCCTGGCAGTAATGTCTTGTACGTGCTTTGAAAACAGCATCTGTTTAAGGTCTGAGACTGACTGCTGCCAGTGAAGGAAATGGAGTGATAAAGCTTGTCATGTTGGCCTATTTCTTCTATTTCTCCTTCATTGCTCTGAACCATGCTGCAAAAGAAAATGGTTTCAGAGGTATTCTAGAGCCAGACCCTTCATGGATAAGATCCTGCTGGAAAGATACAGCCCTGCCTTGCTGGGGCTTACAGCTCAGGCCTCCTGGTCCTATACAGATGTGCACTGTGAATACATAAGCTCATACCCACAAAAGGAGAAGCATAAGGTGAGGCTTTCTTTTTGTCCACTTTCCCTCTGGAAAAGATGGGGACGCATTATATGGCGGTGAGTTAAGGAGAACTGTGTTAAAACAAACATGACTCATAACGAAAGCAAATAGTGTTCTATTTGAAGATTTTTGCTGTATTTTTCAATGTACGGTCAGGAGAATGTTAAAAATAAGCAGACTCCCTGACTATACTCAAGACTGCAAGTGCTAGGAGTGCAGTAGGTCACTTAGAAGATGTGTTCCTACTTGCTTCACCTATGCTGGGTTTGTGGAAATGCTTGTAGCATACCTGGTGTCGGTCTGCACTGTGCAGTTGCGTTACACATATTCTAACCTTACTGATTGCATTGTACTGCATTGCTACTGTCAGATAAGGTATCTGCTGTAAGATCACCAGGGTTTGTTTGGTTGCTTTTGCTGGGTTGGTTTTTATTTGTTAGTTTTTGTTAGGTGGTTTGGTTTTGCCCTCCCCTTTTTTTTTTGTGAAACATTGGCAAAGATAATAAAGAATACACATTTGCTATTTGGGAAGATATCATGCAGTGCATTTTACATAATTATGTGTGTATACTTTCATCCAGATGAATAAATATGATGTTTTTTATTTAGTTTTTTACAAAGTTGTCACTGGAATGCTTAACATAGCAGCTGAGGGGAAGAGGGATCATCAAATGGAATTAGGAGGTGGTAGGTTCAAAAGAAGGTACCTCAACATGGAACAATTAAATCTTGGAAGTCATTGCATTGTTGAGGATGCCAGAAGTTCAAAAAGCAATTAGGCATCATCATGGAGGAAAAATCTATGCAGGGATGTTCAACACAAACACCTCTGATTCAGGAACTCTTTGAGGTGCAAATCCGCATCCTGTGGAAGCCTTTTAGACAGCAGCCTCCCTTCTCCTCACACTATCATTAGGTGGTTCCTGTTGGCTGTTCCAGGAGATACAGTCCTGGACGAGACAAGAAATGCTGCTGTTCTGACACACCATGGTCATCCTGTGTTTGACTGTCATTTCATTCAATGTGTTTGGGTTTTTCCCCCTAATCTTTAATAAATCATAAACAGCAATTCTTGCAATGAACTTTTGTGATACATAAATGCTATTTCCTTATCTTGTGTACATCTCTGCTATTTCTTGCCTGTTACTTTGGCTGAGGGATGAGAGGTTGCTTTGCTATGTATTTGTATAATGCCACATTACCAAGCTGAGCACTGGGTTGTGCATGTATTTCCTACATAATTATTTGTTATAAATACATATTAATAACCTGTATTTCTGAAGATGGTCACAGGTCAGAAGGTTTGCTGCTCATATAAGTACCCTAAGCAAGGATCCGTGGGGCTCCAGCCCTCATTTGCTGGCAGAGTTAACCAGATGAGCCATTTGAGAAAGTAATTAAAATACCAGCAATACCTGCCTAAAGAGTTACAAATTCCACGCTCCTCCAAGGGCTGGTATTTATTATCTAGGAGCACAGGACCAGACCTTGTGAACCTGCTGACACTGAAGGGTGAGACCAAGGGCAAGACACCAGCAGAGCACAAAGGCATAGGCCCCACCTCTGCCCTGAGCCATCTGCTCTGGGGAAGCTGGCACTGCCTGTGGGTCCACAGTGGGTCCATGCACACCAGAGGTGTTCTGCAGCCTTAGGTCTGTGTGTGGCAGTGCCTGCAGCAGGGAGGACAGAGTGTATCCAAAGAGGCATAAGAGGGCCTTGTGAGGCATTGAGCAGGCACCCACTGAGGGCTGTATGCTTACAGCAGGCTCAGATGTTGGAAATGGGGTCAGCTGGGCTTGGTCTTTGGATTTTTCCTTGTTAGCAGGGAGATAGGGTTGGCTCACGTGACACAGGTAGCTCCTGTTCCAGCCTTGCTGCCGGAAGGGAACAGATTGATGCATACATTTTCCATTGAAGTCAGTTGTCCATATTCATGTTTTCTTTCCAAAGACAAGCCTAATTGAGGTGCTCAGGAATGGAAGTGCCACAGGATCATAAGGGGAACAGGAGTGTGATCATCCCAAGACCATCAGCACAGGTCTTCTGAAAAAGCCCTAATCCCTTTCCTGCTACAGCTGCAGAACCACTATATACTCTAATGCTCATTTTAAACTTAATGGAAACACAATGTATAAGTCTTAGGGCAGTACCCTTTTCTTACAGGGAAGTGAAAAGAGGAAGGGCATGGGATTCTGCTGAGGAGTATCCATGGCGCATGGATAGGATTTTATCAGTGTACAGCTCTTGGCTTGGATGCACAGCCTCCCATGTATACAAGGATCCAGCTCAGAATGGATGTGGGTAACCCAGCAAAAGCCAAATGGTAAACCTGTTGTTCTTCCTGTTTATCTCACCTGTGTACCTGTTGCTCTTCTAATTTTGGAGAAGTTCAGTGAGAGATTGCAATAGACACAGACTGAGAGCACATTCTTATAGAGATTGATGATGGAAGCCAGTCTTGTATGCCATTGCCATTTGTGTTGCCAATAACCACACAGCTTATGGCTTTAGCAGCTCTTCAGAGGTAACAGTTTCACAGGGACAAGTAGTTCTTCAACAGCTCCTTAAAAAGGCAACTGCACCTCGGTCTTGGATACTTTGTGTAGTCCTTTTCTCCACAAGTGAGTTAGCATATACTGTAAATAGACAAAAAAACCCTGAATTTATTCTTTAGTCTGGAGGGAAGGGGGTAGGTCACTGAGCTTAGTCCCACAGGACTGGCAGTGGGGATCGGGCTTCAGTCTAGAAAGGGCTGCAGAACAGGTATTCCACCCACCCCACATTCAACCTATGTTTATATCACGTTGGTTACACGTGCATAGCTGCCTTCTGTTCTTCCTGTTACTTGTAACAAACCTCAGACTTAGTAGATGTCCAAAAGTCACAGGTATGAGGTCCTACAGAAGCAGAGTAGAGGTCAGGGGTGCTGGCACTGTGTCCCTGCTGTTGAAGTGTTTTTCAATCTCAAGTCCCACAGTGCTGTGGCACTTACTCAGCTCACGCAAAGTCCATAGAGGAACAAGGGAAAGCTCTCCCAACTACTCTGAGTTTAAGCTCTTGAACAAGGCCTGATGCAGGTACCCCTTTAGTTTTTCTTCAGCCGATCCCATCCATTCCCACAGGTGCTGCTGCAGCCCTGTGCCTCCTGTCTGTGCATCTGGGCAGCTCCTGCAGGCAAGACTAGGGTGTAGGTGTGTTCCCATGGAGCAGTTCATCAGCTCAACTTCTGTGAGAAACCCAAGTCATCAGTGGCTGGGAATGGACAGGAGATCTTGCTGCTCAATGGCATTTGGAGGGCAGTAACATATTTTTGGAGTGGGGCAGTACCTGGGAGTCTTTGGAAGAGGAAAGCTTTTGTAAATTGCTCTTCATTTAGTGTGTCAAGACACTGTTGGAGGGAAATTGCAATTTATTTCAAAATTCAGAAAACCACAATTTTTAAGTAGTTTGTTGGAAATAATCTGGGCATGCATACCAAAATAATATACTGAATCAGTGTTTATTGAACATAGTCAAAACTACTGGGTTTTGTACTAGTGTAGATTCCAGTATTTGTGAACTGATAGTTAAGAATCATAGAATCATAGAATAGTTAGGGTTGGAAAGGACCTTAAGATCATCTAGTTCCAACCCCCCTGCCGTGGGCAGGAAAACCTTACACTAAATCATATCACCCAAGGCCTCGTCCAGCCTGGTCTTGAACACTGCCAGGGATGGAGCATTCACAACCTCCCTGGGCAACCTATTCCAGTGCCTCACCACCCTAACAGGAAAGAATTTCCTTCTTATATCCAATCTACACTTCCCCTGTTTAAGTTTTAACCCGTTACCCCTTGTCCTGTCAGTACTATCCCTAATGAAGAGTTCCTCTCCAGCATCCCTATAGGCCCCCTTCAGATACTGGAAGGCTGCTATGAGGTCTCCATGCAGCTTTCTCTTCTCCAGGCTGAACAGCTCCAACTTCCTCAGCCTGTCTTCATGGTTAAACTTCATGAGGCTAGCATCAGCCCACCTCACAAGCAGCTCCACCAGCCCCCAGTAGACCTGGCCTACAAGCTTGGGTCCCATGTTGAAGACACCCAAACCCCTGACTATGACACCACCCTTTTAACCATTTATTAACCTGTCCAATCCTCCTAGCTTTTTTTAGGTCCTCCCCTGTACCCTGGAGAATTGATGAAAAGACCACCTGAGCTCCAGAGCCCCTAACCACCTCCTCCAGGGCTCTGTAGTCCTTCTTTATGTTCCCCAGGCTACTACTATCTATATCCCTAGCGCCCACATGTATCACCAGGAGTGGGTAATAGTCCGTGGGACTTACCAGAGCAGGCAGCCTCTCTGCCACATCCCTGATCCGTGCCTCTGGTAGGCAACACACCTCCCTTGAGATGGGGCCTGGCTGGCAGACAAGTGTTTCTGTCCCTTTCAGTGTAGAGTCCCCTACTACTATGACCTGCCGCTTTTTCCTAGCGGCACCAGTAGAGATCTTTACCAGGGCATCAGCCAGTTGTTTCTGGCTCAAGTGCGCTTCCTCATTAGCCCCCTGCAGGGTAGCAAAGCGGTTCTGCGTGAAGACAGGGGATTTAGGGGGAAGCCCCTCGCTTTTGGTTGTCCTTTTCCTTCTTTTTTTCGTTGTTTGTTTTTTTTTTTTTTTGTCACTAATTCCCAGCTTCCCGGGTTAACGGCCTCCTTCTTTCCTTCATGAGGTAGAGGTGAAGCTCGAGGCCCCTGCACAGTTTGGGCCGGGAGCAAGCATTCCTGCTTCCTCTCAGCTTCCCTGACATCTCTCAGTCTATTAACAGCATCCCGCAGCTCAGCCCCTGCTGCAGGAGGACCTCCACCAGGGAGCACCGAGTGCAGCCCTGCCCATTGTGCACCCTCCCCTCACCAGACCAGTTCAGGCACTCTCTACTCCCCGAGCTCTGCACTGCAGCCTCCCCTCTCACCGGCTCTGTCTGGGTGCCTACGCTGCCACCGCCGGGGCAGCCAGAGCAGAGCTCCCGGACTGGGCCCTGATCATACGGCGAGCGCTCACCATCCCGCTCGCCTGCCCGCGCAAACCGCCTCGACCCGCTCTGTTCCCCGCTCTCCCTGGGCAGGTTTTTACCCACTCAGGGCTGCCGCCGCCCCTCCTGGCTCCGCCCCGTGTGAGTCAGCTGCTCGCTCGCGTCAGCTGAGCTGCCGGCTCCTGGGCAGGTCCTGTCGAGGACTTGAGGCTCCCTCGGTGGCTCTTGCCGCTCTGAGCTGGGGCTCCTGGACGCTGATCTCCCCCCCGCTCCGGTGTTGAAGGCGTCCTCTCGAGCTACTAGACCCAACTTCCTCAGCCTATCTTCATACGGGAGGTGCTCCAGTCCCCTGATCATCCTCGTGGCCCTCCTCTGGACTTGTTCCAACAGTTCCATGTCCTTTTTATGTTGAGGACACCAGAACTGCACACAATACTCCAGGTGAGGTCTCACAAGAGCAGAGTAGAGGGGCAGGATCACCTCCTTCCACCTGCTGGTCACGCTCCTTTTGATGCAGCCCAGGATACAGTTGGCTTTCTGGGCTGCAAGCACACACTGAAGCCGGCTCATGTTCATTTTCTCATCAACCAACACCCCCAAGTCCTTCTCCGCAGGGCTGCTCTGAATCTCTTCTCTGCCCAACCTGGAGCTGTGCCTGGGATTGCTCCGACCCAGGTGTAGGACCTTGCACTTGGCATGGTTAAACTTCATGAGGCTGGCATCAGCCCACCTCACAAGCGTGTCAAGCTCCCTCTGGATGGCATTCCTTCCCTCCAGGGTATCAACCGAACCACACAGCTTGGTGTCATCGGCAAACTTGCTGAGGGTGCACTCAATCCCACAAATCTTAGCGATACGATTTTTTAAATGAGTAGATTTTTATACCTGCCTGGAGCAGAAAAATGCATTGCTCAGTTATTTCAGTCATGATCACCCAGCATCACATGTAATCTCAGTGGAAGAGACAAGCTTTGGGGAAGCCCACAACTAGTGTCACTGCCAGCCTGCTCTCTCTCTGCCTGCAACCCTCTGCCACAAACCCACCACTGTCCCCGGCAACCCC